GGAGGGAGGGAAGGAAGGAAGGAAGGAAGGAAGGAAGGAAGGAAGGAAGGAAAATACACCTTTGTGGGCTCCTGTGTGTCTGTTGCTTCCCAATGTGGTGAAGACGCTTCTTCGTTCAGTTGGTGTGTAAAGATGCTCGGTTAAATTCTAGTTCTTTGACTAGAAACACAAAACAAAATGAAAACAAGAAAAAAAATCACTTTAGCGGCTATATTTTTGTGTAAGCTTTTGTGGAACATGGTCCCCATCTTCAGACAGATGAGTTAGAAGACAGAGACAGCAGGGTAAAACATTCCCTAAGAATCCGTGGTTTTTGGTGGCATCTCACACCTCAGAAGGATTTGTCACCCCTGTTCCTGGTATTCTGTTCCTGGCCCCATAAAAATCAGCAGTGATGAAAGGAAACAACAGAGGAACAACATCTGGTGACTTAGAGAATGACAGACTTTATCTTTCAGCTTTTCTCTGAAAAGATGGATCTGGTAGTTGTGAAGGAAAATAACAGCAGAAAACAGCCTAATGATTACACTTTGTAATGATTAACGAAACCTTGGCTGATATTTAATCCATGGATATAGGTGTCCATCCTATGTATACATATGATCTCAGCTCTTTCCCTCTGGAACCGTGTTCTGTAGTTCTTCTTCTCCAGAATAGCAATGTTCCTATCTTGTGAAGAGTGTCCCGGTTGGTTGATCTGAGAGAGGTTTCTGTGTACTGCGATTCCTGATGTCAGCGATCTGAGAGAGGTTTCTGTGAATTGTGATTCCTGATGTCTGATTTGGGTCCCTTCATTCTTTGGCCTAGAGTTCGCCCCCTTTGTCCTAGGTAGAGGGGCACTGTTGGCAAAAGGATGGAGAGCATTCACCAGGACAAGTGAGACCTACAATAATGTAATGTGGCTTTGGGTGTCCACATGTCCTTTTCTAGGGAGAACGGTCCTCTTTTCATGCCAAGAGTTAAAGACCTGCCTCTTCAGGCAAGCTTTAAAGAACTACCACTAACTCCCTGGAGGCTGTTTTTCTTGTTGTTGTTGTAAGTTGTGTTTCTAAATGTTTTTCAACACCTTCTAATTATGGTATTGCACTCTTCTTCAATGTATTTGGAATTACTATTGTATGTTTAATTGTTGTTTTAACCTTGTAGTTTGCTGTGTTTCTATCACGACACGTTTTTAAGATTGCGAGCCTCGTCGCTAGAAAGGTGGCCCACCAAGGAAACAAACCAATGAATAAAAAATAAATGTTATTGGAAGAGGTGCCAGAAGGCAAGCCCTCACTATGGAGGCGTCCTCTGGCTTAAGGACCGTCCACACCAAAACCCTGTCCAATTATGAGTAACCCTACCGACGGGCTCAGGAAATCGGCTCAGAGTTCGCTCAGCCTTCCATCCTTCTGAGGCTGGTCAATTGAGGACCCAGCTCGTTGGGTGATGGTGGGGGGGGCAATGTGTAGCCTGCATAATTAATATTTCTGAACCCCCCAGAGAGTGTTTCAATGCTAACGAGGCAGTATCTAGGCAGCACACAACAAGGGCAGACAGGTTTAGCCCTCCTCTTCTCCCTCATATTGTTTCTTTCCTCTACTTGGGGGGCGACCTGTCCAGGAATTCGACAGGGCTGAAGAAAGATCCATCATAGGTCTGTGTGCTGAGCCAGGCTGATGGTTTCTGGAGTCCAGAGGTAGAGCGACGAACACAAAGCGTGATGTGAAAGCCAGCATTAGCAGGCCTGTTTTCCTCCCCAGATTGAGCTGAATGCTTGGGCTTGTTGGAAATAGCCCCCCACACACATATACACACAACTACTGAAGCCATGTTCTTTCAACTGTCACTTGCCACACCTGTTGGACTACAACACCCACCATCCCCAACCATAGCTGACCCTGCTTGCTTGCTGTGGGTTAGTGAGGTTGCTGTTCAGTAAATGTAGAGAATGAGAGTTTAGAAACGGCTGTGCTAGTTCGCTCTGCAATCCTGTCTGGAAAAGTTCTGGGTCTCCAAAATCTCTCTCTCTCTTACGCACGCACGCACGCACGCATGCACGCGCACACACAGAGTCAGAGTCAGTGACTGCACTTCGGTATGCACGCACACACGCATGCACGCACAGAGTCAGAGTCAGTGACTGCACTTCGTTTTCAAAGCCATTTTGCACAAATGCGACTTCACAGATGGCATTCAGAGCCTCATTAGAGCCTCTGAAAACAGCTTGTCATTAAGGAGTACATGACAGAACATTCCCAGAACATATGTAATAGGGAGGCCCCCTTTTTTTCCTCCTTACCACGCAAATAGGCATTGACTTTGTTCCAAATCCCTTATTTTTAAAAGGCAAATTAGGTGTCTTAAAGGCACCTCTCTGGCCTCATCCTCCATCTCCTTTCACGGGAAGTGAGGAGGAGGAGGAGGAAAACATAATTGCAGAACAAGAAGAGCTGGAATCAGCCCAGAAGCCTCGAGCATGTGACTCCCACAGTGGCAAAGCAGTTGCCAGCACAGGATTAAGTCCACACGCAGGGTGTGAACCCGACCACAGCATTTCCCAATAACGGATTACTAGACCATGGATGTAAATCCTTGCTGGTTTCATCCCCTTGGGCAAGGTCAGAGCATCACAAAAATGTCCTTCTGACCTGCGAGAGGGTAAGATATTTTTGGTTCATGCTCTCCAGGAGGGCACTCGCATCAGCCATAAAGAGCTTTTTTGCAAAAATTGCATGACTTACGGCAAGCAAGAAGCACTGAATGGGTTGCTTGCATCTTTAAAAAAAACATCAGCTAATTCTTCTGTATTTGTTTTCGAGAAGCACCGAATGGGTTGCTTGCATCTTTTTTAAAAAAACACACATCAGCTAATTCTTCTGTATTTGTTTTCTCTGTGTTTATGTGCATATGTGCATGCACGCTCACACGCACTGTGCTTTTCTAAGCCAAAGGACATTTGGTTTGTGCCAGTTGCCACAGAAGCACTGGGTGGAAATCCCAAACATATCCGATGGAAAAGAAAGTGCATTACTCTCACCCGGAAGGCCAGAGATCTGAACAGGTTTGGAAAATCATGTCCAAGGTGTCTCGTCGTGTAGTGACAGCCTAAATTGAAAGAAAGAAAGGAATCAGCAAGTATTATTCACAATCCACAGCCTCATTGCCTGAGCCCCTGGAGGTGAAACAGAGCCCTCCGGTCTATTAGCCGTGAAATGCCTCAAGCCCTGTTATTGTACCCGATCACTTTTTAGAGCCATTCACATTGGCCGTCACAACATCTTGCAGCAGTGAATTCCAGAATTAAACTGTCTTCCAGAACTAAATGTGTTTAAGGTTCAGTGTCTTCATCAAAGAATCATGGAGTTGGGAGGGACCCGTGAGGTCATCGAGTCCAACCCGCCAGAACTAAATTGTGTTTAAGGTTCAGTGTCATATAGAATCATCAAAGAATCATGGAGTTGGGAGGGACCCGTGAGGTCATCGAGTCCAACCCCCTGCACAAGTCAAAGTACATCTGACCGAGGGTGGTCCAATCGTCTCTTGAAGGCCTCCAGTGCTGGAGCACTTAGGGCTTCCCAAAGTCATTGGTTCCACTGTCGTACTGCTCTAACAGTTAAGAAGTTTTTCCTGATATTCAACCGAAATCTGGCTTCCTGTAACTCGAGCCCATGGTTGCCTATCCTGCACTCAGGGATGATCGAGAACAGACCCTGCCCCTCCTCTGAAGGACAGCCTTTCAAATATTTGAAAAGTGCTATCCTGTCACCCCTCATCCCTCTTTTCTCCAGGCCAAACATCCCTAGTTCTTTCGGTCTTTCCTTCCAGGGCTTTCTAGCCCCCCCCCCGATCCTCCTCATCGCCCTCCTCTGGACTTGCTCTACTTTGTTGGCGTCGTTCTTCTTATCTCCAGAATCCAGCATCTTCTAGATTTCACAGGTTTGCTCTCTTGTTAAAGTCTCTCCTGCAGTATCTCCCACCCTCACCTGCTTGTCTGTCCTCCGTGGACATTTTTGCTTTTCAGGAGGTCATCAAATCCATCCTGCAGAGCGGAAGAATTGGCCCGGACATCCAGCTTACCGAGTGCTATGCTTTGCGCCTGAAGCACGTGAAATCTGATGAAATCCACTGGCTCCACCCAGACCTGACGGTTGGCGAAGTCCAGGAGAAATACGAATCTTTGCACATTGAAGCCGAGTGGAGGTACGGTGTCTTAAGACCTTGCCGGCCATACCGCCCTGGCCTGACTTGTGGGGTGGAGCAAGGTGGTTTCCTGACCCCTGGCGTAGGTTCAGCTGTCAGTCTGCATGGTATCTCCTGGTACAGGGGTTCAATGGCAGTCTTGCAGTCAAGACTCTGCTCACCAGGTCTGAGTTTGATCCTGACAGGCTCAGGCCAGGTGGCTGTAGGTTGACTCAATCTTCCATCCTTCCAAGGTTGGTACTGTATTTTTCTGTGTATAAGACTATACTTTTGTCTAAAATCTTTAGACTGAAAATTGAGGGTTGTCTTATACATGGAAGTAAGCTGAGGAGAGAACAAAAACAAGTGGCGGGGAAAGCAGGGATCAAAGCGGTCCTGCAGCGCTTTTATCCCTTTCCCCCTCCACTTGCTAAGCCCCACTTAGATTTCTTAATTTTGGATTAGAAAAGTGGGGGTGTCTTATACATGAGGGCATCTTATACACGAGTACCCCTTTCGCTGGGAGTGGGGGAGCAACATGCAGCCTGCAAAATTTAAATTGTAAACTTACCGGATAATGTTTTAAGCACTATGAGGCAGTATACAAGCAGCACACTTTTTAAATGAACTCCCCAAGTAGAGAAAACAGCTCCGGGGGCTCAAGAAAGGCCTCCTCGAAGGGGAAGCAAGTCCAGCTCAAACTGCCACGGGACCTTGGCAAGAATTTCTGCCTTCTCTAATAGGAACCACCAAGGCTCCTTGTTTCATCAGCCTCCCTTCCAGCTGGGTGGGACTCTGCCATCTGAGCCCGAGCACATCGACGGTCGTCTCGATCCGTGGTTCCCAACTTGGGGTCCCCAGATGTTCCTGGTCGACAATGCCCAGAAACCTTCACCCCTAGCTGTGCTGGCCCCGCTTTCTGCGATTTGCCATCCAAGAACATCTGGGTGACCCAAGGTCAGGAGCCCACGGGTCTAGATGGAACCAAAACCCAACTCATGAAAAAGTGCGTCCCTCGGTTCCTCTGAGTCACGGGTCGCTCTAACTGAAGGACTCAATGCTGTGTTCTTTTAGGTATGACCTCCAGATCCGGTACCTCCCCGAGGACTACATGGAGCGTTTCCAAGAAGACCGGACGACGCTCCTCTACTTCTACCAGCAGGTTGGGGCCCCTTCTGATTCTCCACGCTGCCCTATGGCCCTGCTTAGCCATTTACTCCCTCCATGAGTGGGTGGGTGGTTGGCTTTATTTCCTTCTCATGGCACATGATTCCCCCTTGGCTTGTATCCCGTCGCGCCACCTCTCAGTGTTGGCAAGAGCGTTGGGCACGCCTTCCTCAAAAGAGCGTTCTCCTCTGGTGGACATGCGAGGGCCAGTCTGATCCTCCAAGACCAGAGATGGGGAACATGTATTGTCTTGAACTACAGCTCCTAGGATTGTGCAGGCACCCGATACTGTCTTGGAACATGCAGCTGTTGAGAACAGATGTTTGCTTCCCATCTCTGTCCAATACATTGACACGGAAAATGCAAATGCATCAAAGGAGTGCAGAATTCTCCCCCTTGAGCTGAATAAACTTATGCCCTCACTCCTTCCGGGACACACATCCTGGTAAATCCTGTTAAAGTAGAGTAGGACCCTGCTCTCCGTATCTGCTGATTCATTTATCCACTGCCTGGAAATCCTTAAAAAAACAAGCAATAAAACAACAACACAGAAATATGTATTTATATGTATTTCCAGGATGTATTCACCAGAAATGACTACTAGAGGGAGCCAGAGACTAAGCTATGTACAGCTTTGAATACTTCTGCATTTTCTAACATCTGGAGGGGTGGGGTGGTGGGACTTGGAACCCCTCTCTCATGGATACAGCCCTCCTGCTGTAGGCTGTAGGCTGAGCTTCTCTTTCTCACTCAAAGCTACTAATCCAAACCACCCAACTCTTGATGCTTCAGAGGAGAGCAGCTTATGCTTTTTAGCTAGGGGTTTATGGCAGTTGTAGGGACGCGGTGGCACTGTGGGTTAAACCTCAGAAGCCTCTGTGCTGCAAGGTCAGAAGACCAGCTGTCGTAAAATCGAATCCACGAGACAGAGGGAGCTCCCGTCGCTTCTCCCAGCTCCTTGCCAACCTAGCCGTTCGAAAGCACGTAAAAATGCAAGTAGATAAATAGGGACCACCTCGGTGGGAAGGTCATGGCATTCCGTGTCTAGTCGCGCTGGCCACGTGACCACGGCAACTGTCTTCGGACAAACACTGGCTCTATGGCTTGGAAACAGGGATGAGCATCGTGCCCTAGATTTGGACAGAACTGGACAAATTGTCAAGGGGAACCTTTACCTTACGGCAGTTGTACTCAAAAAAAGGAATTATTGTTTCTAGCTTTGTCTTGGGGTTCAGAAAAGCATTATCTTCTTCATACCTTGACCGACGGGATGAGTTGTCTTGGTAGACCACAAGCTGAACATGAGTCAGCGGTGTGATGCGGCTGCCAAGAAAGCCAATGCGGTTCTTGGTTGCATCAATAGGAGTATAGTGTGCAGATCAAGGGAAGTGACAGTTCCACTCTATTCCGCTTTGGTCAGATCTCACCTGGAGTCTTGTGTCCAGTTCTGGGCACCTCCATTCAAGAAGGAGGTTGGCAACCTGGAACGTGTCTGGAGGAGGGTGACCAAAAGGGTCAAAGGTCTGGAAGCCATATCCTATGAGGAGCAGCTTAGGGAGCTGGCAATGTTTAGCCTTACAAAAAGAAGGTCCAGAGGGGACATGATAGCTGTTTTTAAATATTTGAAGGGATGTCATGTTGAGGAATGGACAGGTTTGTTTTCCATGGCTCCAGACACTAGGACAAGGAGCAATGGTTTCCAAACTCCAGGAAAAGAGATTCCATCTCAACATTAGGAAGAACCTCCTGACGGTCAGAGATGTCCGGCCGTGGAAGAGGCTGCCTCGAAGGGTGGTGGAGTCTCCTTCTTTATAGGTTTTTCAGCAGAGGCTGGATGGCCATCGGTCGGGAGTGCTTGGACGGATGTTCCCGCATGGCGGGTGGTTGGACTGGATGGCCTCAGTGGTCCCTTCCAACTCTGTGACTCTATGACTATAGTGTTGGGTGCGTATTGAACAAAAGCACAGAGTAACTACTGGAGCTGAGGTTGCATCAGGCTGCTACATGGTCAGTTCTAGCAGACCCCCTGCTCGCAGGTTGGTCTCCAAATCAAAGGGTGGGGGGAGCTAAAATTGTATTTTTGGGGGGTTGACGTTTCCGGACCTTTTAATTGGGGCCTCTTCCTTCTCTCAGCCCCTGAGTTGTAACTCTGGCTTCCCTTCATCCCTCCCCTCCCCTGCAAGCTGCACATTTCAGCATTTCAGGAAGGGTCTGCCTGTACTGCAGGAAACGGGCACAGATGGGCTTCCCCAAACATGATGGGACTGCTGTGGCGTGATCTTTCCTCATGCCATGGGCGGTGAAACTGGTGGACCTTAAGGAGGGGCAGTGGATGCAGGCTTCAGCGATTCTAAAAGGGGTTTATGATGAACGTAAGAAAAGCTTTGAAGCTGGACGGGTCCTTTCCGAGTGTACCCTGCTTTGCAATCAACAGGAAGGTAGTCCTATAGAGGAAGAGCAGGATCTGTTCCCAAGCCATCTCAGAGTGCAGGGCATGTCCAAATGAGCCCAAGTTACAGGAATCCAGATTTAGGCTGAGTGTCAGGAAAAACTTCTCAACTGTTAGAGCAGTATGACAAGGGAGCCCATGACCTTGAGAGGTGGTGAGGGCTCCAACACTGGAGGCCTTCAAGAGAAAACTGGATGACCTTCTCTCAGCTCTGCTTTCATTTGGATTCCTACCTTGAGCAGGGGGTTGGACTTGATGACCTTAGAGGCCCCTTTCCCATCATTCTGTGATTCTGTGGTTAAGATCTCCTGCCTCCTTAGCCCTTCTCCTGCCTTCTCCTTTGTCTTCTCCCCTCCTACCTCCTCTCTGCTTCTCTCTTTTCAGCTCCGGACAGAGTACATGCAGAATTACGCCAGCAAAGTGAGTGAGGGAATGGCGCTCCAGCTTGGCTGCCTGGAACTCAGGTAGGTGGACACGAAGCCAATGTGGGAAAGGCCACAGGAGAACATGAAGGCAGGATTGCGACCTGTCGGATTGTATTCGAAACATTTGTTCCAGCGAAAAAGTGGACTGGGACGTGAGCTTTCGAGAGCCAGTGTGGTGGAGTTGATAGAGGGTCAGACGAGGGCCCAGGAGGCATGGGTTCAAATCCAGGCTCAGTCATCCGAACATGCAGGAGGATTGGGGGGGGGCACTTCTTAACTATCTCACACGAGTTGTTTGAGGGTGCTAATAAACCAGATTGCACACCCAGACAAACATCAATGCAATTTATCCAGGAATTTTTGAAATGTGTGTTTTGATAGTGTTGATATACAAAGGAACGGCTGGAGTGGTTTACAGGGTGATAATAAACCCGATTGCACACACAGACCAACGTTGATGCAATTTATCCAGGAATTTTTAAAAGGGGTATGACATGTGTGTTTTGATAGTGTTGATATACAAAGGAACAGCTGGAGTGGTTTAGGTCTCTTGCTGCAGGACCAGAGGCTGGGAGGAGGGTGCTAATAAACCAGATTGCACACCCAGACAAACATCAATGCAATTTATCCAGGAATTTTTGAAATGTGTGTTTTGATAGTGTTGATATACAAAGGAACAGCTGGAGTGGTTTAGGTCTCTTGCTGCAGGACCAGAGTCTGGGAGCTCGATTCCCCCATGGGGCCTTCTGGACAGGGTCTGGACTCCGTCATCTAGAGGGTTCCTTCCGAGACGATGATGATCATTAAATCCACACATTTTGTCTTATTCCATTTCACATACTGTACCTGGGCTACTGTGCCTCGCGTTCGCAAGAGAAGCTGAGAAATGTCTCGGTGGGTTGGGTGGTGGGGAGAGAGGAGAGATGATCGGACGAGTGTCAAATACGAGTTTGGCCCTTTTGGGGAATTCTGCTGAATCGCTTGCACCCTGGCCTGGGGGGATCCCGGCTTCAGGCGGCGCATGGCACAGGCTTCTGTTCCTGCAGCCCGAAATCCCCATACCTCCCAGTACCGTCTCATCTCTCCTGTCACCTTGCAATGTCTCCAATATATTCTGCCTTCACGCCTTTTCTTTTTTCCCCCCTCGCAGGAGGTTCTATAAAGACATGCCGCACAACGCCCTGGACAAGAAGTCCAACTTTGAATTCCTTGAGTACGTAAATTCCCAAATTTTTGGGCATGATGTCGTGTCCCATCTTTGGGTCCCTTTTGTCACGTGTGGGAGGGGGCGTGCAGGCACACTTACACACATGCACGCGCTTATGTTCACGGGGGGCATCCCAGCTCTGCCACCTCCCCACCAGCCCCTGTTTAATGAGGTTGGCTTTGAGTCCTCTTTGACCCAGACGGGCTGGGGAAATCTGGAGGGGGATCTCATCCACAAAGGAACTTTTCCAGGCAGTGAAAGGAAATCCATTCCTCCGTCCCTCCTAAAGAGTTCGCATGAGGACCTGGAAACTCATGTCTGGGCTGGCATTTACATAAGAACCTCAGAAGAGCCCTGTGCTGGATCAGGCCAAGGGCCCCTCTTAGTCCAGCTCCCTGTATCTCACCGTGGTCCCCACCAGATGCCTCGGGGAGCACACGAGACTGTAAGATCCCTGTCTCTCTTCCCCTGCATCTGGCCTTTGGAGGTCCCTTCCTTCTAAGCCTGGAGATTATACCTCCCCATTGTGGCTTGTCACCTGTGATGGACTTTTCCTCCTGGAATCTGTCCGGTCCCCTTTGAAAGGCATCTAGGCCAGATGCCATCCCCACACCTTGTGGCAAGGAGTTCCACAGACCTAACAACCCGCCGGGCCCATAAATATTTTCTTTGGTCTGTTCTTTTGCTTTTGCTTTGTCTTTCAGGAAGGAGGTGGGTCTCGACCTTTTTTTCCCCAGACAGATGCAAGAGAATTTGAAGGTAAGGGGTGGTGGCTCATCTCCTCTTCCTAGGGAGCTGTTTTCAGCAAAGGCCCAGAGGGAGCCGTCCCTGCTCTGTTGGCTGCCTGAGGCCAAGGCAAATTAAGACCATCTTTCTCCCCCCGCCCCCCCGTAGAGAAACGAACTCTGACTGGTTGCTCTTAGCTCAGCACCGTGGGCAGGATCGCATCCTCTATGCCTCTGAGGCCAAGAGGCCAAAGGTTGTGAGGCCTGGGCAGTAAGAGAAGAAATCATCCGGCAGTGGCTTTCTCCCGGCATCTGGGTAGCCCTCCTCTATTCATTCAACACTGGCGAGGCCTCCCCTTGAGTCATGTGTCCTGTTCTGGACACCACACTTCAAGAGCATCTGGATAGCCCTCCTCTATTCATTCAGCACTGGCGAGGCCTCCCCTTGAGTCATGTGTCCTGTTCTGGACACCACACTTCAAGAAGGATGCTGACCAATTGAAGTTCAGAGGAAGGCCACAAGGAGGATCAGGGGGCTGGAAACCAAGCCCTATAAGGAGGAAAGACAGAAAGTTTTAGGGCACGTTTAGCCTTGAGAAAAGAAGATGGAGGGGAGAGAGGAGAGCACTTTTCAAAGACTTGAAAAGGGGCAGGATCTGTTCTGTGTCATCCCAGAGTGCAGGACAGGCAACCATGGGCTCAAGCTACAGGAAGGCACATTTTGACTGAGTAACAGGAAAAACGTCCTAACTGTTAGAGCAGCACGACAATGGAATCCATGACCTCCGGAGGTGGTGAGTGCTGCAAGACTGGAGGACTTCAAGAAGAACATAGACAACCACCTTGCAGATATTCTTTGATTTGTATTCCTGCATTGAGCAGGGGTTTTGGACTTTATAGGCTCCTTCCAACTTTATGATTCGAGGAAGCAGCAAAAGCACTGCACAGCTGTAATCTGTGGAAGCTTCCTGCATCCGCAAGACAGCTTTTTCCCAGGTCAGTCTTTTGAATTCCTGCACTCAGCAAGGGGTTGGAGTTGAAGGCCTTATAGGAGGCCCCTAGAAGGATGAATAGGGACGTGGTGGCGCTGTGGGTAAGGCACAAAAATCTCTGGGCTGCAAGGTCGTAAGACCGGCAATTCGAATCCACCCGACGGAGGGAGCTCCTGACGCTCATCCCAGCTCCTGCCAAACTAGAAGTTCAAAAGCATGTAAAAATGCAAGTAGATAAATAGGGAACACCACAGTGACACGGTAAACAGCGTTCCGTGTCTAGTCGCGCTGGCCACGTGACCATGGAAACTATCTTCGGACAAACACCGGCTCTACGGCTTGGAAACGGGGATGAGCACCGCGCCCTAGAGTCGGACACGACTGGACTAAATGTCAAGGGGAGCCTTTACCTTTACCTAGAATAATGAATAACTTCATTGTTCTAGGAGTCTGTGATTCTTACCTTTTTCCTCTTGTCTCAGCATCTACTGCCTAGGGCAATACCTTTCTTCTACCTCATGATAAAGGCTCGGGAAGCATGCTCACTTGGGGGCAAAGCTTTAAAAATATCCCTTGTCCATAAGAACCATAGCATGCCCCCCCCCCAATTTCTTTAGGATTATGGATGTTTTTTTTTTAATGGTGACTTTTCTTGGGAACTGCTATGATTTCTCCCACACGCTGTCTTACAGCCACATAAATGTGCATAATGCTTACAAAGCAAAACTTCCCAGCTAGATATTCAGAGTTTGAAAGTCTGTGTTCTAGGCTTCTAAAAATGTGCCATGATTTACGAATGAAATTTTGAATTAAAATATGGGATTGCACCACTCCTACAGACAGGACGTGATAGAGGGCTTTATTTTTTAATGTTTGTGTGCATTTTTTAAAAAAACAAGTCCTCCTTATAAGGAGAAAACCAGCACCGGAAAATCTCTTGATGGACTAGTTTGTTGAATTGACTTGCAGGAATTCCCTCTCCCAAATCTGCAACACGAAAAACAAAACCAAAGAAAAACAAACAACCGCCCCCCCCAAAGACGGCCGGGATTTGATTGTTGTTCTGGGTTTTTCGGGGTCTTTGGCCGTGTTCTGAAGGTTGTTCTTCCTGACGTTTCGCCAGTCTCTGTGGCCGGCATCTTCAGAGGACTGGAGTAGGAACTCTGTCCATGCTCTATTGCTGGAGTTCCTACTCCAGTCCTCTGAAGATGCCTGCCAGAGAGACTGGCGAAACGTCAGGAAGAACAACCTTCAGAACACGGCCAAAGACCCCGAAAAACCCAGAACAACAATCAAATCCCGGCCGTCAAAGCCTTTGAGAACACATTGAAAACCCACAATGTTGCGTCACTTTAAAGACTAGCTGCCATATTTCCATGTAAGCTTTCGTGGACCATGGTCCCCTTCTTCAGACAGATGAGTTAGATAGACATAGAGAATAGCAGACTTTATCTTTCAGTTTTTCTCTGAAAAGATGAGTGGTAGTTGTGAAGGAAAATAACAGTAGCATAATTCTTACACTTCGTAATGACTTAAGAAACCTTGGCTGATATTTAATCCATGGATACAGGTGTCCATCATATGTATACATATTATCTCAGCTGTTTCCCTCTGGAGTCTTGTTCTGTAGTTTTTTTTCTCCAGAATAGCAATTTTCCCTATCTTGTGAAACAGCTGTTTCCCTCTGGAACCTTGTTCTGTAGTGTTTCTTCTCTAGAATAGCAATTTTCCCTATCTTGTGAAAAGTGTCCTGGTTGGTTTAAGTGATCTGAGACAGGTTTCTGTGTACTGCGATTCCTGATGTCTGATTTGGGTCCCTTCATTCTTTGGCCTAGCGATGGCCCCGTTTGCTGCAGGGCCCTGTTGGCAAAAGGACGGAGAGCATTCATCAGGACAGGTGGGGACCTGCCATAAAGCAATGTGGTGTGGCTTTCTTTCTTTTCCCTTTCTTTTCCCTGCTCTTCGTCCACGTGCAGCCGAAGCAGTTCCGCAAAATGATCCAGCAGACCTTCCAGCAGTACGCCAACCTGCGGGAGGAGGAATGCATCATGAAGTTCCTCAGCACCCTCTCCACGGTCGCCAACATCGACGAGGAGAGCTACCGCTGCGAGCTGATTGTGAGTACGGCAGGAGAGCCGAGGAGGACTCGGTGGGTTTCGGCTCCAGCGGAGATCCTTGTCTCTTCCCCCCACCCCCCACCCCGGCTTCCCATGACCCCTGCCAGACGGCTTTCTCTCCCTTCCATTTTCAGCAAGGTTGGAACATCACCATGGACCTGGTGATTGGGCCTAAAGGCATCCGGCAGATGACGACGAAAGAGGCAAAGGTAGGCGGTGGAGCCACACATCCAAAGAAAGTGTGTGTCCTTCCGTTTTCAGCAAGGTTGGAACATCACCATGGACCTGGTGATTGGGCCTAAAGGCATCCGGCAGATGACGACAAAAGAGGCAAAGGTAGGCGGTGGAACCACATATCCCATGAAAGTGTGGTAGGAGAACCCTTAAGTACATCCGATCAAGGTGTTCGCTTCATACCCCTGTGTTGGGATGGACCTTGGCATTCCTTCCCCCCTTTCCATTGTCTCTTGAGGGGAGCCAAGCTGTTTCGTGGGTCCAGAGAAAGCAGAGGTGCTCCCTCGTCAATGTAGGGCTTGGCTCTGTGACATCAAGCCCAACCCCCTGCTCGATGCAGAAATACAAATCTACAGGTCTTCTACAGGAGGTTTCCGAGATAGGTAGGGTTAGTCCATGTTCCCAGAGTTTTCCTGCCCTTCCAAGTGGGCAGAAATCCAATAGGTCTATTAGGACCCCCATATCTGTGCAGAATTGGTTGAAAACCCACCCACCCCCGCTGATGTTAAATTGTATTTTAATTGTTGTAAGCCACCCAGAGAACTTTGGGTAGTGTGGGTGGCATATAAGTCAAACCAACCAACCAACCAACCAACCAACCAACCAACCAACAAATAAATAAATAAATAAGTATCCATTCAGTCACTGGGTCTACTCTAGTCGGGACTAGCAGTTTTTTTTAAATAGCGAATGCTGTACATCGCATAGCTCTGGCTCCCTCTAGTGGCCAGTTCTGAACAACTTCAACTTAAGAAATCTCTATTTCTAGGGTTTTTCTTTTAATTTTTTAAAAGATTTTGAGATCATGAATAAGTGAATCAGTGGATGCTGATCCCAGGGCTGGGGGGTGGGGTCCTACTGTATAGTGAATTGGACCCTAAGACTAGCTCAATGTCGCCTTGGGTCCTTTCAAGGAGAAATGCCGGGTAAAAACAGTTTAAATACATGTTTTATATCAATGTCAGGGGCCTTAGGGTTCTAGGAACCGTCCCGGCAGCACCCACAGGAGTGCCCACCCTCCCACTGGGTACCTCAAATGAAGATTCCAAGTCTTTTAAATAGAACGGAAAGCCTTTTGCTAACCTAGAACTCACCAGATGTGCTATGTGATGAGAAGGGGCGAGATTTACGTCCTCCTCAGCCAGCGGGAAGCACAGAAGCTCCACGGACGTCTCTCCATCATCTTTCCATGGCCTGACTCTGTGGTTTTGGTTTAAGGGCCCTCCAAACAAACACCACCTGCCTAGGCTGAGCAGCTCCAAGGTGGAAGGGTAGAACTTATTTATATGCTGGCAGCTCAGGTCTAGCAATGATTTGTTGTTTTGAACCTGCGGCTCAGGTTTTGCCATCACCAGCGGCTGATAAGCCCGCGCGGTTGATACAGAGAAACCCAGATTTGCTAAGTACGAATGTGGGGAATTGATCGTGGAGGTTTTGAACACGCAGGAGGGGAAACTTGAGTCTAAAGCTGAAATCTTGTTCCCACTGACCTAAGAGGAAACCCCACTGAGCTTCAGGGACTCTTTCTCTTCGGAACCTAAAAGGCAAGTGTTCTCAGGATGCTGGCCTTCTGCCACAAACAGGTCTCTTAACAGAGCTTGGCAGAGTTACAGTACTTATTTCAGTCCAAAGCTCACAGAATCCTCCAGGAATGCAGGACGCTGATCTTCCCGAACTCGGGGGTCTTGCCCAGCATCCCCATCCAGAGGTCAGCAAGAGGCAGGATTTTGCCTGACTCGGACTCCGAATCACAAGCCTGCCTGTCTTGTTCTCCCCACCCCCCGCAGCCCACCTCGCTGACCGAGTTCAAGCAGATCCGATCCATCAAATGTACAGCCGTGGAGGAAGGCAAAGCGCTGCTGCAGCTCGGACTGATCGGCAATCCCCAGGTGAGAAAAGGAAGCACCCCGGCCAGCCCCTTTCCTCGGCCTCCTTCCAGGAATCTTGCCTGTCCGAGTCCCGAGTTCAAGGCTTCGGGTTCAAATCCTGAGTCCCAAGCCTCAAGTCGGAGTCTCGAGCCTTCTGCACGGGCTCCTGCGTATCTCGGAGCAGAAATCCGACCTCTGTACCCGTTCACGTTTCAGACCTCTGAGTTAAACAGAAGAGAAGTAGCTCACTGGGGAAGCAGGCCCTCTGCATGAATCTGCATGTCCTAGATTTTATCCCCACATCTCTGGTTGAAGGATATTCTGGAAAGCAGGGCTGGAAAAGTCCAGCTTCAGGGATTGGGGGCGGGGAAATCTTTTGGACTGGATCTCCTGCAGTCTGCTAGCAGAATCTCACCCTAGGAGCCTCTCTGAGGGTTGGAGTAGATGCTTGAGCGAGCACATCTTCCTAGCATGCCAGAAGACCTGCTAGTGAAAACACAGGCTTTCCATTGAGCCCTGTATCTTGCATCCCATCCGGCTCTGTTTTGTGATTGGTTGATGGGAGGTAAACACGGGCTTCATTTGCGTATCAGAGTACCCAGCCTCTATTTTCTCTTAGGCATCATCTTGCAGGAGGGAAATAAACAGGCTTATATAGGCAGGTAGCAATGTGTTTTCTCTCACTGATAACTTGAGGGAAAGCAGGGCAGAATATTCACAAATGGGATATTTCATTTTTCTGAGCAGGATAATTTTTAGCGTTTGTTGTCGAAGAACTCTTTCCAGGCACGTGGCCCTCCGTCTCCCCCAGGTGGATGTCCACACATTACGTTCCTCTCTCTCTCTCTTTTGCTTTTCAGTCTTTGACGATCAAAACATCCTCTCTGGCTGAAGCGGAGAACATGGCCGACTTGATAGACGGCTACTGCAGGTTACAAGGAGATCTGGACGCCTCGCTCATCGTTCATCCCCGGGGTGAGCAAGTGGCAGCTAAAGGAACTCTCAGGGTTCTGCTGCGAGCGCCTGTCTTTCAGGGAGCGCAGGAATATCTTTCACCGAGAGCTTGGAAAAGCGACATCTTTGGATTATGGTTCCCAGAATCCTACAAGTCAGCCTTTGACCCTAAGATAGGGAAGAAGGTGTGAGAAACTCACAGAGCAAGACACTCACAAAGTGAGAATCGTGGCCACCAGGATCCTGGCCGCTAGAATCCAAAGACGTCACTTTTCAAGTTCTGGGTCCTGCGTCCAGTGGGGAGATAAACATAAGAGTAAACCTTTGGTCTAGATGAGCGGGGTATAAAAATGTAATAAAATAAATAAATAAAATAAGAGCCAGGATGCTGTGCTCCAGGATTCACTTCCCGATTCTCGAATTCCTTTGGGGAATTCTCCCATGTTCATTTGACAGAAGGGGAAACAAAGCTTCTTGCCACAGGCTTTTTGGAGGCAAGTTCAAAGTATGTGTTTCGGAGGGGGGAGGTAAATTGTTTTACCTGCAGCAGCACAGGGGGGGAAACTAAGGGGCAAGTTGTAGTATTTTTGACATGCTTTTGTCCTTTGCAGAGAATGAGAAGAGGATCAGCTTGCCCCAGGTCCCCGTACAGTAAGTAAGACAGCGGATCTGAACCACAGGGCTGACCGGTTACAAAAGAAAGCCAGCTAATTTGCAAATGAAGGGAGGTACGAAACACGCATGCTCTGATGTGTTTCAGCATACAGGGAATTCCCTTTTCTAACGACGTGCTGTCTATAATGTATAGCTGGGCGAATCCTTAGATAGACCCCTAAATCTCTTTCTGCCCTTAGGCACATAGAGGAGAGGAGGTCTACCTTGGCAGAGAGCTTCAGCGGAGGTGAGTTTCATCGGGCCACTGAGATCTCAAAGGAGATCTGCCAGGTGGTTGTTTAAGTTTCTCTTGAATGCCTCCAGTATTGGAGCACTCACCACCTCTCAAGGTAATTGTTTCCATTATCATACTGCTCTAACAGTTAGGAAGTTTTTCCTGATATTCAACTGAAATCTGGCTTTCTGTAACTTGAGCCCATCGTTGCCTGTCCTGCACTCTGGGAAGAGCGAGTACAGATCCTGCCCCCTCCTCCTTTGCAGGACAGCCTTTTGAAGAGTGCTATGCTATCTCCCCTCAGTCTTCTTTTCTCAAGGCGAAACCTGCCCACTTCTTTCAGCCTTTCCTCCGAAAAGTGAAACGAAAATAAGGAGAGGGAGAAAAGAAACACAACAACAAAATAGGATCATCCTTGTCACCCTCCTCTGAACTGGCGTTTCCTCCTAAGGCTTGGTTTCCAGCCCCCTGATCATCCTTGTCACCCTACTCTGAACTGGTTCCAATTTGTCAGCATCCTTCTTAAAGTGCGGTGTCCAGAACTGGGCACAGGACTCAAGATGAAGCCTAACCAGTGCCTGAGGGGAGGAATACCTTGTAGGATTTGAAGCCTGTTAATGCAGCCTAAAATCACATTGGCCTTTTTCGCAGCCACATCACACGGTTGGCTCATGTTCAACTTGTGATCTACAACAACTCCAAGATCCTTCTTGCTCGTAGTTTTAATGTTTTCACATCTGTTGAGTGATTTAAGCCTCAGGCCCCTGTGCCTTATTTCTACTTCCCACCCAACTCCTCCATATTAGTAGGAAGGGACCCATCCACAAAACAGGCACAAATATTCAGGGAAATGTCCTATCCAGCAAAAGCAAGCAAACAAACAAAACCAGTGGACCAAAAGACAGGGTATGTCATGCTTAAATGGGGAGACCCACCTTGGAGAGAAAGGTGGAATAGAAATATTTTTAATAAATAAATAAGATACCCCTAAGCTCCACTGGCTGCTGTTTGTGGTTAAACAGAGGGACTGGGGCCTTTCCCCTCTCTAACTGAAACGGATTGTTTGGTTCCAGATTCCGACATTTACGCTGAGATCCCAGACGAAGCGTCCAGACCCAAATCTGGAGGTAAATACAAACCTTGGTCTCCCTTCTAAAATAATCCTTTGCTGTCGTACTTTCCACTTTTAAGTATGATATTGAACGGATGCTGTAGAGGAGGGATTGTTGAATGCTTTGGGGCTTGTAGTTATCCCGGCGTGAAGCACAAGAAGGCGCCATGACACCACGGAAGGATGTGAGCTTTTCAACATCCTCCTCTTTTTCTCATCACGGAGATTTCTCTTCACCGAGAGAGACTCGTCGGTCTGAGATCCACTCTTCCTTCCTTCCTTCCTTCCTTCCTTCCTTCCGTCCGTCCGTCCGTCCGTCCATCCGTCCATCCGTCCATCTGTCCATCTGTCCATCTGTCTGGGAATGATCTGCTATTTAACCCATAGGCAGATCTCTGTTTTCTCCTGTTTTATATATTTTAAGTGACTAGCATAGAACAGAGCAACACAGAATCTAGTTTATTACTCAAATAGGAAAAAAAATTAGATTGATGAATTCTGCATCTAAAGTGGGATTTGTGGGCAAGGAGGACAACAGGAAAGTACTATAATGTGAACATGAATTGAGAGAGAAACCCCTAATACTACTCATCGGGTGTAGAACCAAATGTTTGCTGTATCTGGCAGTGTTCGATACTGTAAACATTTAGAAGGTTTTGCACCTTTTGAGACTCTTTGCAAGATGGAACTTGCCTTCTCCCGAGACCTTCTCCATTAATAATAATAATAAGGGGTTTCCCATTCCCTTCTTCTGGAGAGGGGTGTCCTGGGACTGTGCAGCTTGCCTAAGGCCACCCGGGCTGGCTTTTCTGGGATGCAGGGGGGGAATCCAACTCCCAACCTTTGGCCTCACAGGGGGGCGGAATCCAACTCCCAACCTTTGGCCTCACATCCAGGTACCTAAACCGCGGAGCAATCCAGCCGGCTTCTTCCCTGGCAGCCCTGACAATTTGCCCATTATGGAATCATTATGGGCTGTTTCAGAGCCGTTAAACTGCACAGGAAACGATAGCCAACTTTAAAAAAAATGAATAGGCCAAGTGCATGTCATGGGAAAGGTGCTCACAAACCTTCTTTGGTCACCGGAGGAAAATCGCAAATTTAGCAAAGTGTGTGAATAAATCTATAGATTAGGCGAAACCTGTAAATTAAGGCACACTTCAGGGGAAATGTGAAAAGACGCATCTGAATTTCGCTGCTGGAACAAAGGTGGACAGTCTCACAAGTCGATGGAAAGGAAGAGGCTGGAAGAAGATTCAGCTGAGAGCTTCCGTTCCATCATTGCGGCTGCTTGTGCTGTGTTTGGAAGACGGTGCACCATTTTTGATGTCTTGACACTTCTGTTTTACACAGCTCAGTACGTGATCTCTCGGGAGGACGTTGTCCTCGGCCGGATCTTGGGAGAAGGCTTCTTTGGCGAGGTCTACGAGGGAGTTTACACTAATGGAGTAAGTTTAAGGCCAGTCACCCTGCCACGCACTGGACAGACTGGTTCGCTTTTTCAGACTCCAAACTTTTTTTGGATTTAATTTAGTAAGTGGCATAGCGCTATAGCAATCCGTCAACGTAGCTCAGATACTCCTTATATGTGAAATAGTGCTGTGGTCCTTTTGTTGTTGTTTAGACAAAGAGTCGGACACGACTAAACAACTAAACAACAACAGAAGGACCATAGCACTATTTCAGATATAAGGAGTATCTGAGCTATACATTCGCGAAGGCGAATTGATGGATTGCTGTAGTGCTATGCCACTTACTAAATTAAATCCAAAAAAAGGGGCAAATGCCGTGGCCCATAGAATGACAGCCATAGCCACGGGGAGAGGGGCCGATAAGGGTGTGTGTGTGTCAGGAGATGAAATTGAAGCAACCTGCTTTCTGGATCTTTCTCACAGGAGAATAAAGGTCTCCTGTGTGAATGGAAGGATCACTCAAGCATGAGATAAACTAGATCGCACTGAAGATAGAATCTATTTTATCCTGCACTTGAGTGATCCTTTCCAACCCAATCTGGATCGCTCAAGATCCCCTCTTCTAGTTACGTCCTAAGTTCCAGGGTAACATGAAGTAGTAAAACATCCAAAAACTCACAGGTGTTGGGAGTGATCAAAAAAGGCCGGTTCTCTAAGTTTTCAGGGGAAGAGACGGACACACCATGCCATAGGTCAGAGGGGAGCCTGCCTAATTCACTTGCAAACGGCCGAGAGAGTGTGTTAAGCGTGATGGGGGTGGTATACAAGCAGCCCACTTTGGGGTTTTCACTCCATCAGCAAAAATGTTGGTTGGCCGTACACCAAAAAAAAAGCACCTCATGCCAAAAATCAGTAGATCTGGGGAAGCGTTGTATATATATTTAGGTTGTGTATGAGTTTCAAAAAAGCACCTCGTGGCAAAAATCAGTAGATCTGGGGAAGCATTGTACTGTATATATATTTAGGTTGTGTATGAGTTTAGTTTGGTCTGGTCTGGGTTGGGTTTCTTGTTGTTGTTGTTTTTGGTTTGGTTTTATTTCTGTGCCATCTGCCAGCTGGTGAGAGGGACACAAGGAAACTCACAACATGTTAGACAAAAAACACGACGGGCAAAATCCCGTTGTGTAGCTATGCAGCAGGGAAGGGGGCTCAAGTCACGGGACTCACTGTCGTGTCGGACTTAAGTCATGCCGACGACTCAATGCAGACTCTTTCCCAAGGATTAGAATTCAACTCACGAGTCGGAACCCACCCTTTATTCTGAAGAGGGGAAAGTTTATTTTTAATAGGCACTCAGACTGGGGACTTGGGACCAAAGACTCAGACTTGGGAGCGTGGGGGAGAAGCAGGAAGGAGCTGAGATTGGACTAGACCAGCCGGATATGATGGTGGTTGGCTTTTTAGACCCTGATGACCGTGTTCTGTTTTTTCGTTCCAGAGTGGAGAGCAGATCAGCGTGGCTGTGAAGACCTGCAAGAAGGACTGCACCCCGGAGAACAAGGAGAAGTTCATGAGCGAAGCATGTACGTAGGTGCCCGCACCCGGCTCCTCCGCGTCCTTCAGGGCCATGGTGGCGGTGCCGTTGATGGTAATGGTGGTGGCAGTTGAAGGGATGACTCTCATGAAGAGAAGACTCGCTCCTTGGAAACCGTGGAAAGTGTCCTCTCTGCTACCAAATCTAGACAGGTTTCCAGAAGAGATTCTAGTCCTCATGAAGAGAATGATCAGAAAATGTCTGAGCCAGGTGACGGAGACAAGAGAAGCATCTGGGAGACAGAGACCAGGATCACTGAGTTTCCATCTTTACCCCTCTTCACCCCCTGACACTTTGCCCCGGTTGCCATGCATTCTGTTCTTCTGTGCGCCTGAATCCCTTCTTACAGAAGTTGTGTCTTTGAGCCTGCTTGGGTGATAAAATCAGGAGAGACCTTTCTCTCGGCCTCACCACCTTCACAGGTGCATTGGGTGGGGAGCCAGGAGAGAATTTTCTCTGTAGTGGCTCCTTTAGACACTGGAACTCCCTCCCACTGGAGGCCAGGCTGACCCCCATCTTTGCTATCCTTCCACCCCTGTTCTTCTGTGCACCTGAATCCCTTCTTACAGAAATTGTGTCTTTGAGCCTGTTTGGGTGGTAAGATCAGGAGAGACCTTTCTCTTGGCCTCACCACCTTCACAGGTGCATTGGGTGGGGACCCAAGAGAGAACCTTCTCTGCAGCAGCTCCTTTAGACTCTGGAACTCCCTCCCACTGGAGGCCAGGCTGACCCCCATCTTTGCTGTCCTTCCACAAGCAGGCAAAGACTCTTCAGATAGGCTTTTCCTTTAGTGACTGGCTGTCTAGGATAAATGGAAGGGCTGAAATGTTGTTGCTTCTCAGTCTGTTTTTCGTAATGCCTCTACGTATTATTTTTAGCATAATGTCCTTAAGTCCTTTAATATTTGGGTAATTTGTGGTTCTTAGCTTTCGATAGGGTGTTTTTAATGAGGTAAGCAGCCTTGGGTCCTTGGAATGTCGGGGTAAAAATAGTCTTAATCAAATAAATAAATAAATGAGCACACCTGTATCAAGGATGTGTTCTACAGGACCCCAGGAAAGGTAAGGCCGCCGGGCGCGTTCTACCATTAACGGTATCCCGCTCCCCCTCGCCCTGTGCATCCACAGTGCTGATGAAGAAGATGGACCATCCTCACATCGTGACGCTGATCGGGATCACCGAGGAAGACCCCACCTGGATTGTGATGGAGCTCTATCCTTACGGGGAGGTGAGGGTCACCTGCGGGCCACAGCCGAAAGGCGAGGGGGGAAGGTGGCTCTCCCGGGAAAGGACGGAGGGAACAGGAGGAGG